GCGGGAAATGACTGCTGAGTTCCGTAATTGTGAAGCGACGATTATCCATAATGCGTTCCCGCACAAGCTCCACAAGGTCGTCTGTAATGATGGATGGCCTCCCACTGCGCTTCTCATCATGCACACTTTGTCGACCTGCTGAAAATTGTCTGCACCAGCGACGCACCATCTGCTTGCTCATGACGTTAGGCCCATAGACCCGGCACAGCTGACGATGAATTTTGATCGGCGCTATGCTCTGTGCATTCAAAAACTTTATCACTGACCGCACTTCACAGTCGGCGGGAGCTAGAATAAGAACCTCCATCTTCAACAGCTGCAACAATGCTACTGTGAGAACGCGGGAAGTACCGTTAGTGCATGCGCCATGCTACGTCATTGCTCTATTACGTACGCACAGTCGCTTCGCGCAATATAAGGTTTGCTAGCTGTGGGACGAGTGGGAAACTTACTTTTGGGACGCGCCTCGTATAAGTTAATAATTATGAAGTCACCACATGTTTGGGGGTACCAATAATTAATCAAGCAACCAATGAACTGTCAACTAACCCATCATTTTGTTGTGACTGATGCACCTTCAGCTTCCAGGCTAAGGTATGAGTAAGATAGTCAGTCCACAGGTAATTGAGTAAATGTTTAATGTCCCAGACAACGTGGTCATTCCCATTGTCAAGCATATTTTTATGTAGTCCCACACTTTTCCCTCCTCGTCACAAATTTTTAAAGTTAAATTCAGGAAGTTAATCACATAGAACTTCAAACATGTTTTAAATCAACAGTACTTAATTCTAAGGAACTGCAGATTGCATCATGCCAGCAGTGAGTTTTTAATAATGTGTTATTAACAATTACTTGTTTTCTTTCAGGATAATCTTAGTTCCTTTCTTTTTCAGGCACAAACACAGCAGGAGCTGAGGCAGAGCCACATAGCACAATTTTAATTATCAGAACAAAATGTGATTTATGGCTCATTTCATTTGATGCCTCAAAAGTATTAAATTTGTTGACTTGAAAGAGAAATGAAATGGCAGTTAGACAATTAAGAGACAGAACAGTGATATAAGATTTGGGCAATGCACTTCTTAACCCAGGGACATGGTAAGATTGAAAGCACTTCCTGTCTTGTGAATAGTTTCTTTTGCAGTCAGAGTTGATCATTTTTAATAAATTATTCTGGTAAGTTTTTATATTGTAAAAGGGTGGAGAACTGAATAGAAGTAATATTTATGAGCATGATCTTCAGGGAGATCCAACAGATGCTGACATGAGACTAACTGGCAACTGGATCTAAGACGTGGAAGGCAATAAATTACCAAGGGTATAAGAATGAATAAGCTGAATTGATGCTGTGAGCATTGTTTATATGATACTGGTATATACAATGCAGACTGTTAGATGTTTCTATAGAGTCAGTCTCATCAAGACTGAAATTTTATTTTACATATGAAAGATAGAAGAATCTGGACATACTTTAATCATGTTGATTAGGTTTCTGCTTGTGGTTCAAAATTTGTTATTATGCAGGCCTTCCATCTGTTGTTTATGAAATTTTAATTATTTAGAAGTATCAGCATTCATTTCAGCTTTATTTTGTTAGATGGGCAGAGACAAACATAATGTTTGTGTTCTGTAATACAGAAGGTTGTATCTGAAGGCAGAATACTGAAGTTACTTTTTCTTGCAGCAGTTACAATTTAAAACACTCTTAAAATGTCACAAACTGGTTGAGAGAGTACCAAGTTATCAGTATAGGATCACAGGCACCAAGATTAAGAATGAAACTGATGTGTAATAATGACAGTGAAAATGTACTTCTCTTTCTGTGTCTGACTTTGAGTTATTTTACCACTAAAAATTGTGTCTACATTAAGATGATACGTAAAACATTACATGGCAATTTTGATAAATAAAACTCAGCATGGAAATAGTTAGGTTGTAGCTCTTCTTTGCTTCTCGTCATTCTTGCCATTATCAGAAGCAGAAGGTTAGTAGGACAACTGGAAATGCTTGCCACAAAAAAGCAACAGACCAAGTAAAGTGGAGCAACTACACCAGCATGTGTTGAATGTTGATGGCATCAAATGAAATGAATTGTTTAGTTTTGTTAGCTTGGACTGTGTTTGTGCAAAACAGTTATTAATTGTTCTTTTTGTATTTGCCAAATGTTCAAGGCATTGTAATGTTAGCAGGTACTCCAAGGAACAGTGAACCATATTTATCGTGTTATGAGTGCATGAGCAAGTGGATGTTTTGTGTGTGTGAGAGTGAAACAAGTCTATTGCATAATAATTAACATAAAAATATAACAAGTATATCCATGAAACTCTTTCACTATCATGGTCATCTTTCATCCCATATTTAAATACATTTTTGTGCATAAATCAGAGAGTGGTTGTGCTGTAGGTGTTTTTTATTTGAAGCAAAATGAAAGTTTTTGAATGAGTTTTGCCAAAACTTTCTTACACATAAGTGGTCATTATGTAAAACATATTCCGTCTATAATGTGAGACGAGCTGGAAGATAGTATTAGTTGGAAAGTTTGAAACCATAATCAGTTCTGTGCTATTATATACATTTAATAAACAAAACCTCGGTCTCAGAAAATGAAAATTGTGTTCTGAATGTAACAAGGACATTTGTTGGTTGACTAATTTACTTTAAGATTAGTGTCTTATGGGGATTTGCCCTTTATAACAGACTAATTGTTTGGGTACTTTTCACCCAAAGATGGGAGCAGACCCAGCTCCTAAAACATTGTGTTTTGTTTACAGTACTATCTGTAATACACATCATTAGTATCCTCTAAAATTGTTTCATTTATAGCCTGCCTTCCCTAGGAAAGAAGGTAGACTTCGTAGATCATCATTTTGACTATTATCAGTTTGACATTCATAACTAATGGGTCACTGCAGCTAGGAGTACAAAATTGTGTCTGAAGATTGAATGCTGACAACCGTCATTGGAGACGTATTTAGAATTGCAGGCAACAAATTCTGACTTGAGTAGGATTCAGTCATATGATTGTACACAAGCCCAGAACACTATCAGTAACCCATGAGATAAACTTAATTTTAATTAGGTTACCTGATTTGATATAATTTTATTATTTTACAGTATCATTTGAATAACCAGGAAGTAAATAGAATCCCCTCTAACTCTTTAATATTGTGTTACATTTATTTACTATATTAGATTGACATTTAGGTTTATTAGGTCCTTCGGTGTTCAGTGTGGGAAAGGCATAATGTACACATACTGAATATTATTAAGCCGTGCTTCATTGGGAGTAGTTTTTAGTGTGGAAACTTAAATTGGTCTTGGACATAGATTATATACATTTGCAGGAAGTTTAATGTTATGCTGTATGGTTTGCTGGTTTTTTGTATATGTACCTGAAAATAGAATGGAATTAGTTTTAGGAGAGTCTGAATTACCCAGCAGTATCTAGAAGTACGAGGGTCGCTCATTAAGTAATGCCCCACATTTTTTTCCTCAGAATATATTTATTCAAGATGGCTGAAATTTAGTGACAATATAAATCAATGTTTCCCTTACACATACTATTTTTCCACATAGTCCCCATCAACTTGTACGGCTTTACGCCATCGTGGAACAAGTGCGTGCATGCCTTGCCGGTACCAGCTCTTGTCCTGTGCACGTAGCCATGTCCTCACTGCTTGAATCACGCTCTCGTCATCTTCAAATCTTGTTCCGCGGATAGCATCTTTAAGTGGCCCAAAGAGATGGAAGTCGGAGGGTG